TTCACTAGGGCTGCCTTTACTGAGGGTTCATCTGATCAGCCACCTTCTGCCCCTTTTCTACAGTTAGTTACGTGAGTTTGTGAAGTTTTGGGGATTAACCCCATTGCTTATGAGTCTACCCCTGCCTTGTTGTCAGATAGATCTTGGGGGGATTACTTAGTTTTTCTTCCTTCCCCTGATATTGCCATGCATGCAGGAAGGTTTGCAATGCATTTACGAGAGGGTATCGCTATGTCTTGCTCCCTTATTTATCAGAACAACATGACATGGCTTATCATCATCAGTATGACGTATATTTGGACACTCAATGGTTGGATCCATTGTTGGATCTATGGGGTTCCAGGTTGGAACCTGTTATCACTCTTTGACTGTTTGTACTGTATTGCTGTACTTCTCTTCCCATCAACTTTTGTCTGACACATATCAATGCTCTCCTCGTCAATTTGACGATGAACAGGGACACTTACTTGTTACCACTATGGCTCATTTGTCCTCTTCAGGCCTTGCCCTGGTGTCGTGGTTGGTCTGTTGCTGGGACTTCTTGAGTCGAGATGCCTTGCTGGAGGGTATTCATTTGTTGTTCACTGCTTTTCGTGCATTACGGGGGTGCCCTTTCTTCGACCTTACTTGTTTCCTTGAGTCCCTGAAACTTTAAAAGCTCAAATTGATATGGCACGTTTGCAGTCTTATTTATAGTCATTGGCTGCTTGCCTCTCTTCTACTCCAATGGGTAGTTCTGGAGGATCACCCATTCGCGTCTCACGGCCCCACCTTCAACACCTCGTTCTATTGGTTCACAGAATTGGTTGCGTTCGTATTCTTGAGGATCTTTGGACAGGTTGGATGGTGCCAGCAGCGTTGGTGACTACCCATCTTCACCAGGTTCTGTGGGAGGATGGTTACATCTCTTTCACCACATTTGGTGTTCATTTATCATTGATCCTTGGGTTCTCAGAGTGCTGGATTTGGATTCGAAATTCTGTTTACTTCTCTTCCTCTGTTGTCCTCCCATCTAGTTGTCTTTTCTTCTCTTTCAGACCTCTGACGTGCAAATCTTCATTCCTGGACCATTCAGGAGATTTTAAACAAACGAGCCATTGAGAAGGTCGATCCCATTCATCCAGGATTCTATTTTCGTCTATTTCCAATGTCCAAGAAAATTGAAGATTAACGTCCTATCATCGATCTGTCTCGACTTAATCACCTCCTACAGCCACCTTGTTTCACAATGGAATGACCAAGTTCGATGTCACAGATGCCTACCTTCACATCTCCATATCAGAATCTTCTTGTCAATTTCTACATTTAGTGCTTGAGGACCAGGTGTTGCAGTCCCACGTTTTTTAACGTGGATTTTTGAGAGAGGTTTGGCATCTTTTACCATTGCAGTATATAAAGATCCTTAGCTGCTACCTTTCAATATTCTATGTATAGGAAGGTTTTGACTCCTTTACTTAGTGGGATTCTGCAGTGTCTCTGGATTTATCACCCATTACATTAACCAGGGGGCTTCAGGAGTTGATTTTTATAGCCTATTCGGGGTTATTATTGAAGATCAAATTATACTCCACATCACTTCTTACCAAATTTGGCATCTATCAATGTCATTGGCTGCTCCTCTGAACTGTTCCCTGGGAGATATTTTGTGGGCTGGTATGTGGACTTCTCTCAACACTTTCCTATCTCATTACCTTCATGATCTGGCAGTTTCCTCTTCTGTGGGATTTTGCCTTCTCCCAGTGGTTGTGTTGACCTCCTCTGCTAGATTTTAACAAGGAGGAGAATAACTTTCTTACCTGATTTATGGTTTGTTTCTTTTTTATTCTAGGTCACTCTTTATTTCTTTTGGACCCCATTTAGTGGCGGGTGTGTCCAAGTCGGTGTGCTTGTAATTTTTCAATTCTGCACTAGTAACCTTTATATCGGTTCATGGTTGCAACAGGCTCTGTCGAGATGAGGTGTTCTATAAGACCATCTAGATGCAATTATGGATGGTAGTATTATCTCACAATACAAATCCAATGGACCACTACTCATGGACTATCAGGAGTAAAGCTAAAGGGGATTTTGCCAGTCCCTGCTGATCTTAGAGCTGAATCAGTCGAGAGTGGTTTGATTTTAAAACTTAAGGAACGTGGTTCACTGTTGCATTGTTTCTGGAGGCCTATTCCTTTGGACTCCCCACTAATGCCCCCCCACCAAATTCTAGGAGCTAGGGAGTCCTTACCACACCCAGTTTCCAGTTGCCGGAGTGGTGGACAGAGGATTTTCCTTTGGAGTGTGGTGTTTTCTCCACTCTCGGAGAAGAGGGCAAAGTTGTAAACCCTCCTTCCCAGGTCCCTGGAAGTTTTCCCAGATATCGGTAGAAGCAAGACCAACCTCCATGGGAGCCTACTCGTAAAACTGGTTGAGATTTGATGCTTAGCTATCTAGTGGGGGTGTGCTTGGACCCTCTTATGAACACTGTGAAGTTTTAGGTTGTTCATACAGGGGTCCACTATCTCATAAATCCGAACGAGACATGGTCCCATCTTAGGCACTTGGTGAAACAGTGTTTCACGTCCTCTCCATAATTCCATGGGTAAGTGGAATTCTCCTTGCCCACTTGGTTGGGGAGTGAAGATGACTGTTCATAAATACAGACAAGATGAGTTCTGGACCTTGATTGGGGTATGGTATATATGATTCCATCAATCCGAGCCTGGATGTTGCCTTTAGACTTCTTGAGGCTGATCAAATGGATTGTCCATTTTGGTGTTACTTTCTTTCTTTTGTAAATTCAGTAGTTCGAAGTGCATCATTCTGTGGCTGCGAGTGGGGATCCTATCACTAAGATATGTATATATTTGTGGTCCAACTGCCCTGGCTACCAATGTGAGATATGGGTACCATGACCCCTTAAATCCAGCCCTGAGTTGTGGAACCTCAGCTGCATGGTTGGGTCTGGTACCATGATCCCTTAAATCCAGCCCCAAGTTGTGGAACCTCAGCTGCATGGTTGGGGCTGGCCCATCTATTTACTTTTGTACTATTCCACCTTTCTCACTTTTCAATAGTTCTGGGTGAAGAGCATACCTGTTCTGGACTTAGTGCAGTTTTCCCCACTTCGGTATCACTTATCGTGGTACACCTTTGTTCTATACAGATGCTTTTTGTATGAACTATGCCCTCACCAGCCCCTCCAACCTCTCAGTGTGGATTCTAGCTATAAGTGGCAGTAGAGGTATGTATGTTTTGGAAGTTATCATTTTCTTAATCTGAAAATGTATTTCCAAACATACTTACCTTTGCTGACACTCTCCTTCATGTTTCCCCATGTTAAATCCATCACCTTACCTTCTCTCTTGCCGATCTTCTTTGTTGGCCATTAGAAGATGTTCTACGATTGGGCATGTGGAAGACTCTGCACACATTCATTTCTCACTACCTATACTACATCACTGTTTCTGCTTCCTCAGGTTATCACCTGCCACTTATGGCTATTCTCCAGACTTCAGCATGGCTGTGACATGAGGTAAGCCCTCACTAATACTTTCTTTTCTTTCAGGGGCCCCTGCTTCAGCTTCACTTTGATCCTGCTCTATGCGAGTAGTGCCTGACCAGGTATTCCGTCTGTACTTGGAATGGATTCCACTTAGATGGCTATAACCATTCGTAGACATCTTGATATCAGATATGCTCTGTAAGCCATGTTGATTCTTATACATTTTCCATGGCTATGTAAGTTCACCCTTGAGATGGAGTGTTTCACAAGATCACTAGAGTGTAAATTTCTTGTGATAATTGTATCATAATATGCCCGTCCCAGACCATACCACCCATGGATGGCATGGGTAAAGCAGAAGGGGATTGCTGTCCATCCCTGCCATGTCTAGATTGATTAAATCAGTGTGGTCTGTTTTTTAAATTAAGGTTTCATGATCACCCATACCACTGTCTCGGGTTGTTGCAGTCTTTCCAGACTCTCCACCACACTTTTCTCCCTTTCTTCCAGTGGAGTACAGGAGTCCTTACCACTTACCAGTACCAAGCTGCTGGGGTGGTTGACCATGGAGGCAATACGCTGGATGGGTTCCACAAAAATGGCTATAACCATTCAGTTAGAGTAGGGCAGTGGAGTTCTGCCAGTGTAGAGGGAGTTACAAGATCCTACAGATGAGTGACTATTTCCCAGAGTTGAGATGCCCAAATGCAGTTCACTCCTCCAATTGGGTGCCCTCCTCCTACCCTCACTAGGATGAGGGTACCCAGTGAGTGAGGTTTTGGAGATCGAATGAACCAATCACATAAGTCCTCACACAGTTTTTGGTTGTCCATCTTCTCCTCTCGACTTGTCTTCTGTGTTGTGGGTCACAAAAGGGTCTATGTGGCCTGTTTCCTGGGTAAACTATATATATAGTTTATATTCTTCACCTATCCTTGTTGCCATATCAGTTACACCCACAGGTAGTTGCTGACAGAAGTTTAAGAACATGGAAGTTAAAGACATTGAATATGTCAAATATATTGAAGAATACCCTAGGTGTGTGTGATCTAATTGCTCACTCACATTTTCTTTAAGTTCTTAACAGTGACCAACAATGAACAAAGCACTTATATAAAAGAAAGATTACTTACTTATAAGCAGAGGGCAGAAACTAACAGATCAGGTCTTTAGAAATTGCTATTAATGTTGTAATGTTGTCATTTTCATCTATATATACTATTAAGCATGTTGAGCATGTCTATTGCAATTATAATTACATATTGAATATTAATTAAAGTATTATTCTATTAAATGTTTTAATTGCTTTTAAGAAATTACATTAATCTTTAAGTGAGAATGATTCTTCTATAACTCACCTCTCATTCATTTTGATAGTTAATGAGCATCACATCTTGCTAGGCTGCTATTGTCTTTGTTTTAGTTATGCTAGGAGAGTTATTTTATTATTAAAGTTAACAGGTAGTAGTGTGCAGTCACAAAACACTGCTTTTATTGTTGAATTTTTCTGTTATAGAACATCGAAAGAAACAGCATCAGTCCATCTTCGGATGAGTAGTAAAGATCTTAGTGAAAGGTATGTGGTTTGGAGAAGATTTGTACAGTAACTTAGGGTCAAAGTGTTTGTATAGTCAATTTATTTTTATGTTGTATCTAAGATCCACTTTAAATATACATGTTGTGATATGGACATTGTATCTAAGATTCATTACAATCATACATGTTGTGATATGGACATTGTATCTAAGATTCATTATAATTGTACATGTTGTTGTGATATGGACATTGTATCTAAGATTCATTATAATCATACGTATTGTGATATGAACATTGTATCTAAGATTCATTACAATCATACGTATTGTGATATGGACATTGTATCTAAGATTCATTATAATTGTACATGTTGTTGTGATGTAGACATTGTATCTAAGATCCATTATAATTATACATGCTGTGATGATGTAGACATTGTATCTAAGATCCATTATAATTATACATGCTGTGATGATGTAGACATTGTATCTAAGATCCATTATAATTATCCATGTTGTTGTGATACATACACTGTTTACTAACATAATATTCATAAGATCCATTGTAAATATACATATTGTTATTATATGTACACTGTATACTAACATATTGTTCATAAGATCCATTTTAAATATATATATATATATATTGTTATGAGTGGTATGCAGCATACTAACATATTGCTCATAAGATTCATTTTAAATATACATGTTATGATACGTACACTGTATACTAACATATTGTTCATAAGATCCATTTTAAATATAATAT